TGTAATCAATATATGTACTGAGGGATATTTTTAGGTGAAAAAGAAACTTGCAGGTGCTCTCTGGTGGACAAACTATGTAATTGCAACACTGACTCCATTACTTATTTCTAATAACTTATTGGCTGACATACTGTATATGCAGTTACCTGTGATAATATATGCCAATAATATTGGTCCAGGTGATTAAGAACATGTTTAATTCCCTTCTGGCCAAAGTCAAATCTCTGATGAGACACTATAAAATGATAAATAACAAGAATACAATCAAACTTTTATTACCCAACAACCTGCATTTCATACTTAGTGGTTATGAGCTTTATTGTTAGTCTAGACAGTAACTCATTCAACAGAAACATGATCAAATGAATCTCATATTCTATAACCCTCTGATCCGTAAAGTTTGTCAATCCTCATGTCACCAGTCAGCTGTGTAAGCCAGACATTTTGGATGAATTGTGCCCCAGTGATGGATGTAAGCTTACTTTTTTAAATTCTCTACAACATTAAATTCCTCATCCCTGCAGGACGTCTGGGGGAAAAGCTTTTGATGCCATTGTCACCAGTCTCAACATGTGCGTTTGATTTGCTTTTTAAAAAAAAAGGATTTCTTATTCCTATTTAGAGTTCATTCAGAGATCACACGCAACAGACGGACCCCCAAACCAAAATTCTTCACATGAGCAGGCTGATTAAAGGAATACAATGTGGGGAGTTTAAAGTGGTCATTTTCGCCTGAGAACACAGACGCCAAATTTATCCTCAGCTGACAGTGGTCCAAAGCTGTCTTTTTCTGTATTGCTAGAAAAATGTGTCTTGGTTTTTGTATACTTTTATGTGTTGTGAGTGTGAAGGTTGTTGTGGCCCTCTTGTTCAATAAGCTCCATCCCTGTAGACCTACAGGGTAGAGTATCAAGTAAAGATGCTGCCAGGTTTATTTTCATTCTTTTTCAAGTGAAATCTGCTGTGCAGAGCTCCTACAGCTCACTTTCCCTTTTGCTTGCAGCAAATTCATGACTCTGCTGAACAACAACATAACTACATTTTCCACTACCCATCCAGGCTTAGAATAATTTACAAGGCAAACTTTATAAAACATGACCCTCATACCAGGCATTCAGAGGCAAAAAAAGGTCTTTGCAATGGGCTGCTATAGGCCTGTGGACAACGTACAAACTTCCCCGTTTCAGCTTTGACGAAGTGTTAATTTGTGTATAGAGAGTTAATTTAGGTGTTTCTTTTCTAGCTCATAGAGCACCTCCGTTAAAAATCCCTTTGCAAAAAAAACCCAAAACAACCCAGCAGTTGGAAGACACAGTAGCAGTTGCTTTTCACTACAATCGAAGAAGTATGCTGATTTAACTTGATGTACAGCATCGATCTGCTCCACAATATGTTGATATAAATCTTGCCTGGCCTTCCGTGCAGGTAACATCTAAAGTAACCTAACATGGGGACCTATGTTTAAGAAACTCAGCTTTAAAACATGCCTTTGAGAAGACTAATCCCTACATATCATTCATGCGTCTTACAGCCAAGGAGTGTGGCGGGGTGCTGACAGATCAGCAGAGGATCATTCAGTCTCCTGGCTTCCCTGAGGAGTATCAAGATGAGCAGATCTGCTACTGGCACATCCGTGTGCGCCTGGGCCAGAGGATCCAACTCCACTTCCTAGAGTTTGATGTGGAGGACGACACAGCGTGCCTAGCAGATTACCTGGATGTGTACGACAGCTATGATGATGTCTCCGGCTTTGTTGGGAGGTGAGGATCATTGGGGGAAAAAGTAGGACGTGTCCAAACTCCTAGCTCCTGATACTATAACTGAAACAGGACCTTCCTCGTTCAAATGGCCAATATGATTAAATGCAAGGTATATATTTCATAATTCTGATAAAATGCTAAACTGAACAAACAATAAAATATATTAAATTATATATATCAAATTCATAGCTAGATGTTGCACTAAGGCACAGCATTTGGACCAAAACAATTGGGCACTTTGGCCCACCAGACTCCATTGACAAAACCAGTAATTTTATTTTACAGATAATCGTAAAACAAACTCAAACTTTAAAACCTTCTTTGGTAGTCTTTCCACGTTCTTTCACTATCACCAACGCTGGTTATTGAAATAATATAGCTAATCCTTGGGGACAATTGCGCCCGTCAAAGTAGGGCCACTAAAAGTTAAAATTTTGCCACTGACAGGCTCAGAAGTTTCTGACAACATTATGGAAAGGATACCTACAGAAATCAACTGTAACTTTGTAACTTTATTCAAAGTGGACAAAAAACAAAATAAAATTCACCAAAACCATCTTTCTTAGTCTTTTTCCCAACAATCACCAACTCTCGTTTTGGGTCAAAATAAAATCCTTAATTCACTGATGTAGAAGGAAGAAAATACATATCTTTACATATCAAATACTTCTTTTCTGTTATATTAATGTTTTAAATGTCATATATGTAAGATTTAACATGTACAATAATACATTCAAGATTCGTTATCAAAAATCAGATTCAAAGAAAAAAAAAAACAGCATAATATGACAGCACTGTACAATATTAAATAGACTCCACTGACTAGAAAGTAATGAATCACCAGTACATCACAGTACTGGGATGAGATTCCTCTTCCAGCCCTCTGCATATGTTTGAACTGAAGAGAATGAGACATAAAAGTTTAATGTGAACACTTGTTTGTTTACAGATTCTGTGGCGATTATTTACCTGACGACATCATCAGTACAGGTAAGATCTCCTCATAATGTCATATAAGAAACATACAGTGTGTCTGTGTTATCTCTATGAGGAAACATTATTTGGCTGTTACACACTGATGGATCTCTGGATTACCAAAACACAAAACAATTACATTTGTCTTTATTTCACAGGAAATGTGATGACACTGAAGTTCCTGTCCGATGCTTCAGTTACAGCCGGGGGCTTCAAGTTACATTACACTGCCTTTAATGCATCTCTGTTTTCACAGAATCATACCCATTATTTCCACTGACCAATGGTTCAATACACTGATATAATCCTGTTGCTGTATTTATGAGGTTACTGGTTAGCTCATGAACTGTAATTAATAAGTCTCTAAAGCTGATTAAACAACGAATTCTGTCAAATAAACAAGATCCTTAAATTGTGTTGCAGTGTCTGTTCTTTTAATAAATATATTCATTACATTAAATGAAGTTGGATTATTTTGTAAACTCCATCTACAACAACATTTACTACTTTCACTTTTTTCAAATGTGTTTTTGTGTGTTCATTTGCCTAATCTCTTCATCTTTAGGACTGAATACAACAATTCATAATTATCAAGACCATTTTCATTTCATAGACAAAATATTAGCATTAGCTTTTTTATTAAATCAGGGGATTTATGAAAATTATTGCTCATTGCTGCGTAAAATGAATGTTTTTCAATGTTTTTGTTTAGGCTTGGTGGATTTTTGCAAATACCATTAGGAGCACTAGCAGGAGCCAGAGGAACCTGATGTTTTTTTTTACACATTATCTGTCTCATGTTCTACTGTCAGGATATAGGGAAAGTTTCAGTGAATATGACAAAAAGTTATTTTTGTAAAAAGTACCTACTGCAGCTTTAAATCTGTCTACACAAAACATATTTGTAACAAGAGAGGTGTGTCACCTTAAACCTGGGGTTTCTCTTTCAGGTTCATTATACTTCAACTGGAGGAGAAATCATTTTGCACTTGTTTGACATGCAGTGATGAAAAGATAATAATGCAGATTTTCTTTAAATCCTGATCTTAAATACTATCAATGAGTGAATGACACCAGTCCTCCGTAGATCACTAACATAATTGTAATTTAATTAGTAATTAACACAGTCTAAAATGAAATTACACCCTAACTATGAGAGGGAGATTGAATTGACAGGGGTAGGGTTAGAAAATGAAGTATTTTGCTAATCGATTAATCATTCAAGACATTTTTAAATCAAAACTTTCCCTTATTATCTGGTCGCAGGTTCTCAAATGTAAGGAATCACTTCTTTCTTGTGCTTATTATCACTGTAAACTATATATAATATATTTGTGTTTTGGACTGTTGATTAGACAAAACAAGACATTTGAGGACATCCTGTGGTACTGTAGTGATACTTTTTGCTCAACAATTGCAAAATAATTAATGAATAATTGAAATGAGCTTTGGTGACAGGCCTAATCGCAAGCACCAAATAAATACAAAGGATGCAAGGTTATTTAATTGTCATTTATTCATTACATCTGTAAAAAACTGCCACAGATGTTTTACCAGTCTGTGATGGCCAGCGTCCTCTTTTATGCTGTAGTTTGCTGGGGAGGAAGCAGCAAGAGGAGAGACGCCGGTCGACTGGACA